GGGTATGAATACTTTTGCAAACCACTGTATAAATCTGTTCTTATTCCTGTAAAAAGTGTCTTATTTTGGTTGGATGAATAAAGAAATTTTAAAAAAATGCAGATTTGACTTTGAAATGAAAAATATTTCTGCTAATGCACTATAATTTTCCGATATGACTTTTCAAAATGACTTTTGGTCACTTTTTACCAGGACATGTTTTAAAAACTGAATGTCAAAGTTTGTTTTATTTAACATTTTAATTAATTTACAATTTGAGCAGTCTTGAAGATGAAAATGAAAATAGAGTTTGGATAATTTATTTATAATTTTACTTATGAGTAAAAAAAAATTCAGGTACATGTAGAAAATGAAAAAGTATTTATATTAATCCATTTTAATTATAATATTGTTACTTCTTCGCTTCCATAACAAGGTGAACATGGATCTGTTTGTATATTTAAGGTTTGTTTATACTTCATGCAAGACGTGCGGCTGCGGCCCAGTGATGACGTAATTGCGTGTGTGTCACCGACAGCATTCAGTGTTTATACTGGGAAAAGACGTGGGGGATACATTATGGTAATCCCTCCCTCTGCCCTCCCACCGCAGACGTCACGCGCGTAGCTTAGCATGTAAACAACTGCTAGTTGCTTAAAAAAAAAACTTGCTAGTTGCGGGTTTAGCTTGTGCAGGAGATGGATGACGAAAAACACTTCTCCTATATTCAAATGTCCGCTGCTTGTTTCAAGGAACTTGCCCACCGGATCTTTTTTTTTTTTTTTTTTTTTGCCCACTGGATCTCCCCTCACCTTCAGCACGCACCGACGCAGTAGAGGACACAGATGGTTGTACCTCGGACCGCCTTGGTGAGTTTCTCTTCGAAACGATCCATGTTTAGAAACAAAAAACGGCTTCTGGTAGCGGGTAGCGGTGTCACACAGTACTGAAACGCCCACAAACTTTGAATCAATCACGCACTCCGCGCCGCATCCCCCACGTCTCGGAGTGCTGACTGGGGGCAATGTACAGGTGCTGGTCATAAAATTAGAATATCATGAAAAAGTAGATTTATTTCAGTAATTCCATTTAAAAAGTGAAACTTTGGTTTCTTTGACTTTGGACCACTCACCAGCAGTCCAGTCCTGTTTCTCTGTAGCCCAGGCAAGACGCTTCTGACGCTGTCTGTGGTTCAAGAGTGGCTTGACAC